AACAGAGACTTTTCAGCAGAACTGCTCAAGCCTCTGCATCATCAAGAAACCAACCAATCTCCGGAAGGGCTTCCCCAAAGGGACGCCATCCTGACGTCATCTCAGTAACCAATCAGCAACGGAATTCCCTCAAGCAGCCAAACCAGGATATTCAGCTTTTCAGCTGTCACCCAAAACTTAAGTAAACGAACAAAATCGTATCTCTGCTGAACTGGTGCCGAGCTAATTTAAGCAGTAAACATAAGACAAACCTCTATAATAATTAATTCCCTAAGAAAAGTAATCAGACATTACATACCTAATTTTTTAGTTCAGTGTGGACAACATTGCTTGTCGCTGGAACCTTGTTGCATTGTGAGTGATTGCATTGTGACCATTATAAAAACCATTATAGAAATACGAAAAATGACACTTAAAAATGATTATCTAAACAAATAATAAAATAAACTACTATATTAATGATTTATATAAAAATGCTAAAAAAGCACTTATCAAGACAAAGGAGTAAGCCATATTATTATACCAAACAATGCTATAAAAGAATATTGTAGAAATGTTCATGACACACACAGACAGACAGGCTACATGAAAATGCAATTTCACTTTCTGACAGTAGGTGGTGCTTATGCAAAAGCAGGAATACTGCGGTACACAATGAGTGGTATAATATGCTATTTGCTTATCAAAATGCTGATATCCCAATTTTTTAAAATAAATATTCCCATGTTTGTCTCAGTATTTGATTTGCATTTTACTTATATTTGTCTAAATGCCCCTAATTATGATTTCTGAAAGTAAATGAAGCCAAACAATCTGCTATGATGATTTTCAAACAATACCCATTAAAATAGTATAGAGAAAGAGAGCCAGGTCTAGATTATTTTTCTTCTATTCACTGTCACTGGCAAAACAGTCTGTGCATGAGTGCCACCAAGTCACAGCATTTCTGGGAACATACCTAAAAGCACACCTGATTGGTCGGTCATTTTTATGCGCAGTACAATGGAAACACTTGCACCGATGTTCATGATAGTCTGAACAGACACATATATTGTCGTTTAATCAAAATAAACTGTTTATTGCACCATTATTTTGCCTAGGCAAGTGACAAAGAGGTATGCTATGGACTAGGGCTGGACAATAATTCAATATCAATATGTATCGCGATATAATTTTTTTCAATAACGGTGATATGATTTTTAAACACATTTGCGATATTTCGATATACATTACCAGTGTTTCCCATACACTGATTTATTTGTGGCGTTGGATTTCGTTGAATAAACATGAGCACTGCACATTTCAAAATCAAAACGCGGCACGGGTGTTTTATATGAATGTATCTCTGAAGGGACTCGACTGTCTTCAGAAAAGTTTCGATGACATTTTCATTTTTATCTGATAAAGTAGCGTTCAAGAGCGGATCTGATTTGATTACAGCCATTACCAGGGAAACTGCTAGTTTTATCACTCTAAAAGCGCCTCCTGCTGGCATAGAATGAATTTGTATTTTCAATAATAAGCCAGTCTCCAGCAACATGTTTTTGTTGTTGCAATTTTTTTGTTTTCTGCAGCAACTCAGAGCACTTTTCATATTCTTTATCCTGGCTGAAGCACATTTGTTTCAATCTATCAGTATAATCAGCCTACACTACGAGTCTAAAGTTTTTGAACTGTAAGATTTTTAAGTTTTTTTTTTTTTTAAAAGAATTCTCTTCTGCTCACCAAGGCTGCATTTATCTGATCCAAAGTACAGCAAAAACAGTAACATTTTGTATTATTTTTACTATTTAAAACAACAGCTTTCTATTTGAAAGCAGTTATTTTAAATCTTTAGAAATCATTCTAATATGCTGATTTGCTGATGAGAATATATTTATTCAGGATTCTTTGATGAATAGAAAGATCCAAAGATCAGCATTTATCTTAAATAAAAAGCTTTTGTGACATTATACATGCACTATACCAAAAGCTTGGAGTCTGTATAATTTTTTTGGGGGGCGTGCATTTCTGTGGTAAGAGCGATCTCTATCTCATTATGGCGAGGACTAGCAAAGCATTTAAGAATGTGTGCATACGTGTTGACGTTGTTTAACATCTGATGACACACAATCTATGCGTTGTTTGTTTGGGCAAAGAGCACGCACGCGATGTCTCCGAGGGGGCAATCGGCGTGCACTGCGAGCGTTGGAATAAATCACATTTTAAAATATTTTCAAACAGAAAACAGTTATTTTAAATAGTAACAAAAAATACAAAATGTTACTGTTTTTGCTGTATTTTGGATCAAATAAATGCAGGCTTGGTGAGCAGAAGAGACTTCTTTAAAAAATATTAAAAATCTTACTGTTCAAAAACTTTTGACTGGTAGTGTATGTCAGCCTATAGTTTGATATAAGGTAAACATTAATTTATTTGTGCTGTTTTTTTCTTAAATATTATATCGTTTTATAGGTTTCATAGACTTGGAAAATTCATTTTTCAGAAGTTTTTAGGTACAGACATCTGTTGTGGGTGTTCTTGGCAGTTTTTATGAGGCTTTTTTTTTTTAATAGGGTTCATATCGATATCGGAATTATATCGTATCGACCGAAATTAAGAAATATATTGTGATATAAATTTTGGCCATAAATTTTGACCAGCCCTACTATGGACCTGCTGCTGATGTGTACACCAAGAGTTTTGGTACGCTGAAAATTGGCTTTATGTTTGTTTTCTAAAATTACTAATAAAAGCAGCTTCACAAGTTCGCACTTATATATAATTGGATTGAGCAAATAGTAAGCATATTTGGTGTGCTGTCCTGAGGGAGGGCTCCGAGCTTGGAATATAGCCCGAACCCAGAGAACTCCCCCAAAAGAAGCTAAATAGGCATGCGACAGCAGCCTGAGAGTCAAATTTTGTTAGTAGCCCCCCAAAATATGCGTGCCGTGAAGGGAGATGGGTTAGAGTTTGCGAGAAGGAGGCAGGGCGACCGGAAGAGCCCATGTAGTGCTCGACGGGAGCTGCGGCTCGCAGCATCGAGCGGCCGAGCCCTACCTGCCGCTGGATGAGGAGCATGATGCAAGACATCAAATGAGGGATTCTCGCTGAGTCCAACGGGAGCGGCGGCTTACTGCATCAGAAGGGAGAGCTGTGACCACCCCCGAACAAGCGTTGCGATTCGAAGCGCTGGATGAAGGGCTGGGGAGCAGTTGGGGGTTCGGTGCCTTGCTCAAGGGTCTCACCTCAGTCGTGGTATTGAGGGTGGAAGAGAGTGCTGTACATTCACTCTCCCCACTGACAATTCCTGTCGGACCTGAGACTCGAACCCGCAACCTTTTGGTTACAAGTCCGACTCTCTAACCATTAGGCCACAACTGCCCCAAGAATAAGCGATGCGATTCGAAACGACAGGTGAAGGGCACACACTGCGACTGAAGGGAGCAGCGGCTCACTGCATCGGGAGGGAGAGCCCTGTTCACCGCCGAATGTGCAGCATGACTCGAAACAACGGATAAAGGGCTCACACTGCAATGGAAGGGAGAGCCCACCGCCAAATAAGCGACGCGATTCAAAGCGTCGGATTGAGGACTCACACTGCGACCGAAGGGAGCAGCGCCTCACTGCATCGGGAGGGAGAGCCTCGTCTGCTGCCGACTAAGCAGCGTGACTCCAAACGACGGACGGAAGGCTCACACTGCGACCGAAGGGAGCGGTGGCTCACTGCAACGGAAGGGAGAGCCCCGTCCGATGCCGAGTAAGCAATAAGATTCAAAACGACGGATGGGGGGCTCACACTGCGACCGAAGGGAGCTGCGGCTCATTGTTCAGAAGGGAGAGCCCCATCCACCGCCGAATAAGCAACGCAATTCGATAAGACGGTTGATTTGGAGACAGGAGTTTGAACATGTAGATGTAGTGGCCTTTTCTTTCTTAGTCTGTCTCACTTTGTTTAATAGCGTAAGAGATAGATTCGCTGTCGAGTACAGATAAGGTGGAAATGGTTAGATGGAGTTTGGGGTTGAATTTGGAGGTTTATTGTGAGTTCTGAGCATCTCAGGAAACCGAAAAAAATATATAAACATGGTGTTGAGGGTCTGAGCAG